CTCGTTGACAACCGTAAATTATAAAATAAAAATCAGGGAATTCACTCTGCAGTTGTAGCTCTAGCAAATTTAGATATTTTATAATTTATTTATTTTTCTATTAATATAACAGTAGAAATAAGTTGAGAGGTGGCTAGTTAAGTTAGTTACTAGTTCGTTTTTTTTTTCAAAAACATTGCTTATTTTATTACAAAATAAATTAGGTAGCTAATATAATATATATTATTAATTATTATTATTAGCTTATTAGCTAATATGTACCGACGTGAATACAGTATGTATAATATTATAGCAATGTAATATCCTTAAGAAAGTTACAAGTTCAAGTGTCTTCCAATTTTACACTCAAAAAAGTTTATAAAAAAAATATTGCATACCTATGGAATTTTAAATCATTTAATTACTATAAAAACTTATAAGAAACATTCTATTATATTTTCAAGCTTATGAATTGTTTTATCAATATAATATTTTACTGAAAAAAAATCAAACATTTAAAAATACTTTAATACAAATAGCTTAATTTCAAAATTTTCTCGGTGCTAGAAAATGATAATTTTAGTGGAATGTTTCAACTTTCAAGTTTATACGACTAATACTTTTTACAATATAAGTTACAACAAAATAACAAAAAACTTTTGAATTTAAACTTCCGTTCAACTTTTTATTTTTTTACCAGCAATAAGATTAACTTATAAATAATCTTGTATCAAATGTTCAAGACTTGTACTTGTAGATATAAAAATTTAAAATTATATGAATTTTTATCTTACTGTGAAATAATAAAATAAGGAAATGTTCATTAATTTGATACATTTCATTTGAATCTATTAAGTGGGAACTTATATTCAAAACACTATAATGATGTATTTTTCATATTTTGATTTGTTCAATGTTGGTAAGAACAATTTATAAGGAACCTTGTATTTAATTCTTAGGGCTTTTGAATTCCAATCAACAGTTTTATTAATATACATTAGTGTAAAAAAATCAAAAAAAAATGTAAAAATTTAAAATGTATTTTTAAGCTATAAAAACTTAATAAAGGCTAATATTTTGAAATCATTTTACGTTTAGATAATGATGGTATCAATGGGTATTGTATAAAAATTGCAAATCTTTACGGTTATTTATTTTTGAATTACAACAAAAAAATCAATTTTTTTTTTGTTAAAAATTCCCATGTTTGTAATTTTAACCCCCAAATTTTGCAAAAAAATTAACTAGATAACTAATAAATCACCGCCAAAATTGGAGTTTTAAGCTTTTTTAACATGATACTGACCTAAAAATTAATGTTTATTATAAAACTAATACATTCTTGTTATTATGCTCAAAAATCAAAATTCAAAATTAGTATTATTCACGTATAATTATAATGATCCTCGATAGTGAAAATTATATTTAATAATTTCACCATTGGATATTATTTAAAGATAATTATGAGTAAACTGGCATTTGCAAATACATTGTACAATTACTAACTCCTTGATACCATATTATGTGATATTTAATTATTTAAAGGTTTTAATAATTTTTTTTTCGGAACAAATTTGGTGTATTAAAAAATATTTTGCAAAACTAATAAAATATATTGATAATGTTAAAAAATAAAATATTAGATACCTTTATTTTTTTTTATCATATTATATTTTCTAAATTATCAAAAAGTGACAAAAACATTGACGTATTTACTATTTATGCCTTCAGTGCATGGTAATTTATTTTATATAGACTGCGAAAAAATAAAATTGAGTTAAGTACAAATTGTTTTTCCCCGAGAGCGGAATTCAAGTACAATAACATTAATTGGACATTCGATTTTTTTTTTTGGATCTATTTTGTTGCCGTCGCGCATTTCACTTACCTGTATACTTTAAAGTCTCAGCTGTCGAGGATTTGAACTATTACACTCAAATAATATAGTTAAAGCATTACAATATTTCATCAGACGCGGGTCGTCTCGAGCACCACACGCTAGCTATAACGTCATCACCCATCGGTTAATCATTGTGCTATATTATTGTTGTGTACGGAAAACAATATCCGGTCGCATACGGTCCACATTCGGCCCCCTATTGTGCGATTACCACCCGTAGGCAGCCTTTTTGGATGACATTTCTTGGCCTCGTGCCAAAATCCAACTGCTGTCGGCTTATAAACTTAAAGTCTCGTGCGCGCACATAATGCGATGTAATACGTTTGTATTAGTGTATGTGTTTGTTCTAATAATTGTAATAATTAACGGCAATGACTCGGACACAACCCTAAGCTAATAAATGGACTATATATACACCCAAAAAAGTAAAGTGAAAATTCAACCCACAAGTTACACATTTTATTATACGTAACCGACGTGTATCAGACCAACGGCAATGTTATATACAGCTTTCACTTTTCAAGGGATATATTATGCAGCAAACTACACATATTATACCCGTGGTACCTATACTATTGTTTCAAAGCGACAATAATAATTCGAATTTAAATGAACATCGCACTTGACTTTTAATTAAGATAGGTACTATAGCTGATAATATATTAGATTATTTTTTTTTAATAACATTTTCTCAGACATTTAGACTGCAGTCTCGAAAGAGTGATTTATCTGACTTTAAAGTTGTTTAGGTTGCAGTTAACTTACAATTTACGAGTTTAAAAAAATATTATTGTCGCTGTCTTAAAGTGGATTAAAAATGCACTTTTTATGATTTATTAAGTATTTAATATCATTATTTTATTTTATTTTTTTTTTGTCGAGGATACCAATCTGGCACCTATCGCCCACTATTCATTATTCTGGTGGTAAAACTATTGTTATTACCTACTCATTATCAGCTATAAATAATAAGAATAGGTACGCACAAAAAAAAACTCTGTAATAAACTATTTGTTTTGAGCGGCACGCAATGATTTAGTGTTCGAATATTACGGGCAATTAAAAACAAAAAACCAGGCGAACATAAAGTATAGTAATAATAGTAATATGTCTACGGTATTTGTATTGCGATATAAATTTATATAATGTTTAATTTTCGACGAATAATTGGTATAATTGCAAACAATGTAATAAAATACAATGCATATAGTGGTAACTACGGATAAAACCGTTATGAAACATTCGAGTTTCTAACTACACAGTGCTGTTGCCTGTAACGCCAATGCATGGTGCATAAATCATTATAATAATATTATATACTCACCACGATACCCAGATAAATTATTGATAACCAAAAGCGGAGAAAATATTTTGATTCTCGGACCAGTGTAACAGCAAAACGCAATTTCGTCGTTTATGTGGGCTCGATACTATAATATGACATTGTATAATATTGATTCGTACAGTGTTGGTTTTGTTTAAGTCTTTCTCGGCTATAATAAAGTACTTATTCAAATACTTTTTTGTGTTTCGAATCCATTTTAAATATACTTAAAAAAAATTAATTTTTTAAATATATACTTATTTTATGAGCTTATAGTTAAGTGTTTAAAAAATCCCAAGCTAAATTATATGAAAGTTTGGCTCCACTTAATTAAAAACAATATTTAATCATAATTGTATACAAATATTTATGTACCAAAATAAGACTTGCATAAACAAATACTTTGGTTCGGAAAAGTGCTAATAGATATTATGCAAGTATGCAAGTATTAAAAAACAATATTGTAATCATGTTATAGGTAAATTGCGTGTTTATATAGTTATTGAAAATGTATTTAAATGGTTTTTATTTAAGTACCTATACGTCTAATGGCTATACCTAAATAATAATTATTTACCTATTTAGTGAATAGCTAGGTATTTTAAATTAATTTTAAAACTGTTTGTACGTGGTTACAGTGATAATATTATAACATAACCGTCAAAGGCCGGAAATTATTAATACAAACATCTCAACGTCTTACGCAGATTAAAAAATGCGTGGTGTATTACATATATATATATTATATCATGTGAACGGAGTCGTTTTCTTAAGATTTATCGTCGTCTATATCGGCGGAACCATAATATATTCTAACACCCACATACCATAATTTTATTTACCAATGATACCCGTATATCGAGTACCGACTGTGCGATGTTGTTGTTATATCTATATAAGATTATACGTTCAATTTCGATATAAAGCGACCGGAACCGATGTTTATCGTCACTAAATTATTATATGTCCGGCAACGGGTCTGTCTCGGACGTCCGGTGCACCAGACCTATGACCATCACGACAACGACACTATGGTACCCATAGGATGGAGCAGATATATATTATGTATACTTATACTGGCTGACCCGATGAAAACGGTGTAGCAGATAATATTATTATTATTGGGCTGGTCCGGCTGGTAGTATTACAACATTTGATTCCGGTATCTGGTACTGAACTATTTGATTACTTACTACGCCGTATCGCTTGGGCAGATAAATTCAGTATGTAATTTGGGACGAAATGTAAAAGTATAACATATATTTTGCACCACATTTAAACATTATTTTTAGTATTATTTGCTCCACAACAGTAAGCAAAATGGAATATGTAGTCTGCGCCACACTTTTAAGGTCTTAACTTCAATTTTTGAAATTTACCATTGTTTTCAAGGACAATATGGCTTTTTTTATGACCCGAAATTGTACTTATTTAATAAACATAAAACATATAACTTATATACATTTAATTATAATGATAATAGACTGATTTTATATTATGTTTTATAATAACCAAAATTGTACTTATTTAATAAACACTAAATATCAGTGCACCTATTTAAGATGTGCCAACAATAAAATATAATATTGAATTAAAGGAAAAAGATAAAATTCGTTGAGTGCCAAGAATTTTTTTTTTATGGCCATCGGTAAAAAAATGTTGGTCACCACAGGATTAGAGAAAAACAACGAAACAAAACCATATATATTATATACACCAATAACTTCTAGTGCGACGGATATTGGATTATATTTTCTGATAAAACGGCTAATTTATGGTTTTTCTTTTCTTTTTTAGTTTCAAGCAGCTCTGCTACAACGATGGAATCTGCCGTCGTTCATGTGCGCCTTCTGTCCATTCATACATGTCCTTTCCATCACGGTGAGTGTGTTCACGCTGACCGCCATAGCTGTGGACCGGCGCCAAGCCATACTCAATCCGTTCGCGTGAGTATATTAATTGCCACTGGCAAGCCTTTGAGAATGGGGTCATATTCTTTATCAAAGAGTAAAGCAAACTTCAGACGATTTTACGCCTGTGATGTTATAGATTCCGAGTATCATAGATACGACGAACGGCGTGCGTACAATTAATCCTCACTTAATATGTAGGTGGGTACTTTATTCCTACACAGCACACATAATATAATACTTAATAGCAGGTTTATCGATTTATTTCAGTCTACGGTTACACATCATTTTGTTAACTATTTATTGTAATATTCCAATCGTCGAAGCGATTTTCTAACTGTTTTTCGTAACAAATAAAAATTAATCAACCGTAAAAAAAAACTACCATCGAATTACGATGCAGATTATTTATCCAAATTTACAATAAACAATTCATTAACCATAATTTGTATTGTTGGCCAAACTAGTACAAACGCATAAAAACATACAAATTACAATGTTTAAATAAAATCAATATGTAATTACTTATTCGCTGATTGAATGAATAACAATTGGATTTAATGAAGTTTTTAACGCATTTATAAATTATATAATACTATGTAGAACAACCGGACTAAATAAAACGAACTCGTCTCGCTTCGGTTGTAATATTTTGGCTTAAGACATAAACGTATAGTAATGTGTTTGATGTTAATTTAAATAAAATATCTAATATGAATCATCACATGGGAGGAAACAATTCAGGGAGGATCTCAGTTAAAACAGTGCATATTTTTGACATTTCTTAACGGTTGTCGGCAGTTTTTTACTCACAGATAAAAACTATTGAAAAAACAAAATATTTCTGTTGTAAGTTCCGTATAGAGTCAACTTTTGAGTAACAAAATATATGTGAACATGCTACATGCTACATGAAACTTTATAAACAATTCTCGAACAAGTACTCAAAGGAAAACGTAATAAAAAAAACATCACTGTAAAAAGTGTAAAACCAATACATTCCTCTATACATATCCAGTCTAAAATAGTTGTATTTTAATATTGTTTAATATCAAATGTCGGTATTTTTGAATGGTGTATGACGTATAGAAAGAGGCTTGTGAGAACTTTAATACGTTCAAATAAAAATAAAAAATTGTCCAAAGTTACAACTACTTGAAATGTTGACTTGAGACGAGGCTTAATAATAGTTGGAAAATATCTGTTACGCTATCTGTTAATTGTTATCTTATAATTTTATAAATATTTTATATAATAAATTAACGATGAATTTCGATATAAAAATGTTTTTTTTTCATTATAAAGTATCAATTTAATTATTGTCTTTTGAAGTAGAGTTTGAACAGATTCGTAAACGTCTTTTTTCTTACGCTGAACTAGGTTCTTATTTTTCTTATTCTTCGCCCTTCCTTTCATATCAGTAACATTGCAAAAAATAATATTTATGTTGTTGGTGCACCAATATTGTGCATACATACATACTATAATTAATAAATATATAACTAACTCAATGTACGTATTATTGTTTGCGGTTTGATGTTTATAGACACTGTATTTATGTATTACATTCTAACCAGTAACCACACGTCATATAAGTTTTAAAATTGTATGATAATTGTGTAACCAATGTTATCATGAATGTTTGTGTTATACTCTTAAATAAAATTGTAGTGATAACTTACACGCCTAACACTTTTTTCTTATGATCCCCTCATATAATATTAGATGCAAACAAATGCATGTAACTCGTAACTTTAAATCTTAAATATAACCTAGTCACTTTGAATGTAGCCTGTAACTATATGCACACTTTTAGTGTAACGTGTAAGATTAGGTTAGTCTATAGTTACAATTAATAGTGAAACTTGTCCATCCAACGTCCACGTCCCTGAATAAAACATAATAATATATTGCAGTATAATAACGCATACATTATGTAATATACTTGTTGGGTGGGTACATATAGTCAACAGAATCGCAAATACTAATCCAATGAAATCCCTTGGGTGTACATTGCGAATAAGAAATCCTAAGCACGTACGTTCATTATTATTTTACATAAATAATAATAGTGCCTAATATGCATGTGAATAATGGGTGGTGGTATTTCGTTGCAACGTATAATGAATGATGATAAACAAGATATAATACGACAAATTATTTGATATCATCAGTAGGCTCAGAAATCGTAACCATGATATTATCCGTTGTGTGGCCGCCGTGGCAAGTACCTGCAGCATAATACAGCACATAATTAATAAGGGGTTATCTTAAGGGTCCATATGACCATCATAATATATTAAGAGTTTTCACATGCCAAAACTATTGTCTGCGGCAACGTCGACGTTATTGTAATAATTACATTTACGCGAGTGGATACAAATATCACACGTGCACGACATTTCACATGACAACATTATTAAGATACGCTCACACGCTTCAGCCCTGCAAAGACGACCAGAAATCGGTAGAGTTGGTATATTTTTATTTAAATATTGAAGTAGCCGTTAATCATTAGGTACATGATGAAGGTGCATAATATATTGATTGCACGTTCTACCGATTCCTCGAGTAAACCACATGACTACGTGGAACAATAACGGCTGCATTATTATAGTTACGTCGTTTTTATAATAATGATATGATATTATAATATTATTGTTATTATTATATACGTAGGTATCGCATAATATACCATGGAATTCCACTTGCAAGAAAAATATTCTTACCAGATGATTGTTTTATTTTCTTTACCGCAGAAAAAGTTATTTCATCAAACCGAACCACTCAAGTGTTTTAAAACTAAAATGTCCCGTCAACAATGTTTCATAAAACAACTGTTGAGAAAATAGTAAAGCACATGACAGCAGTTTCAACTTAATTACAAATCTTAGAGTCTAAAATAGTAAATATAATACGGTTTCAGTAAAAATGATTATTATAATGTTTTATTGCCTAAGCAATAACGTTCTTATTGATCGCTTTATGATTCATTAATTACTACTATGATAAAGTAACAAAAACAAAAAATGTACTATTAAAACTCTCTATCTTATACAAAAACTAAAGAATATAATATTCAATAAATACTCAATGATGGAAACTGTAAAATATAAAAGATGGACTAAACAAAAAAAGATTATAATTTATATTAAAATTAACAATCAGATAATTCACGAACACTGTGTAATCAAAAATCGTAACGGACTGACATAACTATATTATACATGAGAGGCATCATTTAGGTGTTCTATATTACATAGTAGGTAAGGCCACAAACCTAAAACTGACTATTAAAATAATTGTTCAATATTTCAACAATAATAATGATTAAATAGGTAGTAAATATCATGTATATGGTTAAAAACTCTAATTACGATAAATACAGGTAGGTAATACCTACCTACTAATTTGTAATTTTTATAGATGTTGTAAACAGTATCGACTTTTTAAAATTTAATTCAGCTGTATTAAATTATTATTATTTATTATTTTCAACAATTTAGTAAGTACCTATTATAAACGATAAACATATAATACTAAGAGTCGGCGAGTAGCTTTGAAGTATAGTTTTCGAGTATATAGGTCGCTGTTGAATAGTCCACTGCAATACGTATAATGTAATGGATGTGCTAAATAATTTTTTGAATTCAATAATAAATTGCACAACGTGATTCTGAGCATAAAAAGTATTTCAGCCTTTTTATAAGGATATATTATTGAGTTAACATTTAAGACATCCATTACAATGACCGACTCAAAGACAAAATAGGTGTACACTCGAAACTTACTAAACAGCAGAGGAACCTCCCCGGTTTATTTACATTTATTAAAATCATGAAAATTAATGTTTAGAATAATACCATATGAGCGATGACTGTCATAAAATGATAATAAAAGTTAAAGTTAAATGTTACTACTTTCATTACAAAACAAAAGTTTTCGAGATTTTTTCAGCCTTTGAAAAAAAAAATTGTGAATAACATTATGAAATTAGTTGTAGTTGTAGAACGATATAAATCCAATGTTGATACTTTCAATTTGTAAATTTGAACAAATAAAATTAGCACGAAGAATTATTTTTAAGCTTTTCCCAAAAACTATTTATGACAATATGATATTTTTTTTAATCATGGAAAAAGCTTTTTTCTTACTAGATTGATTCAGGGAGAGAGAGAGAGAGAGAAATATAATAATCTTATAAAATTAATCAAACGATCATTTTTCAATATTATATCCATAACATTAACTCCAGATTCCAGTTAATATATATATTTTTATACATTTTAATCAATCAATAAACTCATTATGGTATGATAAACAATAATAATTTCTCTGTCTTCTTATTCTTTAGGATAATTTATTAATTAAGACTCAGACTAAGCCTATGTATTGAAATTTTACTGTGTCTTTTATAAACGTGGTTGATTATGTCCACAAATTGCTTCATATATTGAAATAAATAATTATTTTTTACATTACACTTTTTTCTACTTGTAAGTATAACGCACATCATTACATAGTTCAACAATAAACATGAAAAATTCATGCTATGACATACATTTTTTCAAAACTAAAAAATTACATATTATTTTCAAAATGGTTGTTGGATGTCTCGTTTTGAAATTTAAAAAAAATATTTCTTAACTTACCCTACCTCCAGAATCTATATTTATGTTGCAGGGGACTTAGTGAGATGCCGTATTACAATACGCTTATTATTTGAATTGTTTATAGAGAAAAAACAAAATGTATAAAAATAATAATTATTATTTAGGTTAAATTTAAAGGGACTTTGGTTTTCTCACTTTATCTATTTCACAATTATAAAATGCATTACCTCCACTTAATAATAGTTTGAAAATCATTGGAAATTACATATTTTAATTTAAACATATTTTTTTTATTCTAACAAAATTAAATTTTCATTTCACTATAAATTATTGTTTTCAGCTAATAAATCACAGCTTAAAGTTTTGAACTTAAATTTTCTGAACTTTGTTTTTCTTAAACGAAGCGCTTTTAACATCAATATCATCCTAATCGCAATGTATTTATACTTATCTCAATAGTATATAGTTATTTCCTTAACCTCTATTTGGTTTAAATTACACATTCCTAAGCTACTCCAATAAACCCTACTGTGTATGGATTTAGTTGGAGGGTATTAGGTGGTAAAATATTGCTTATTGTAATACGATCTCATTGTGCTATGTGTGATAATGCTATGAAAGTAAGTATATTACAAACCATTGTATCAAATAAGTTCCTTATTTTATTTTTATAACAATCCTATTTACGCCATTTTCATATACGAATATCAATAATAATCTATACAGACGTTTTCGCGTTTATCTCCTCAGCCGTGCAACGTACGCATTCACCTAAATAGGAATGATAAGACCGCAGTGGATCAGCGAACATTCTGTGAAAGCCTTTGACGCGCATTGTCGTGGATTCTCACATACCGAGCGTAATTCGTATCGTTTAACTGTTTGTGCATTTATCATGATCGATCGATCGCATTGATGGCCCGTGATCGTGTGGAAGGAAATCAATACATTTTGTAGAACGATAACAATTAAAGCTGGGCTTAAGTCGAGTAAAAAAACCTCGCCTGCAGCTTTCTAACAATCATATCGAATATATGCGTCAACACAAATTATTTATTTCGACAAACATTGACGTAGGAGGGGGGGACGACAATCAAAAACTATAACAGATAAAAATATCTTCAAAATTGTCAAACAGGAAGAAAAAACCCTATACAATTACATTAAAATGTTATAATAATATCATATTTATTATTTATGACGAATCAGTGGAACAAGTTATTTTTTATTAATATTTTCTATAGTCTAATAAAAAATATAATCTCGATAATAATAACAATAATAATGATCACAACAGTAGCGATGCGTTTGTGTTTGCAGTGCGAGGACATCAAAAACCCAATGCCTGTGTGTGATCGGGTTGATCTGGATCGCCGGTCTGGCACTGAGTTCACCGATGGCGTATGCTCAACGGGTGGTTTTCGTGTCCGAAGACTGGCCGTTCTGCCTAAACGTCAACTTGTCACACAACGTGATGCTCGTTTATAGGGCTCTACTGGTGGTCGTGCAGTACGTCATACCGCTGTCGATCATGACGTGGGCCTATTCCGGGATAGGATTCGCCCTGTGGGGTTCGTCGGCTCCCGGAAACGCTCAGTCACAGAGAGACTTGAATCTGATGAGAAATAAAAAGCGGGTAAGTCGTTGTATGTTGAACAACATTATTGTGATTCTTATTCTTATTGATATAATAACTCATCGCTTAGACAAATTATCGCGTCTAATTACTACTTCACATACAAACAACTTACTATACGACATCATAAATCATAATATCATGGAACCGATCGATAAGCAACTAAAAATGATTTTTCGATATCAATTTATATTATTGTAGCTGTCAAGAGATAAAAAGTATGATTCAATTTTATCATTGCGTTATAATATTATGTACCTAAATATAACTACAGAAGTACTGGTGCATTCGGGTTTTTTACATATAAACCAGGATTAATTGTTAGGGTCAAACAATGTTTTTCCTTTTACTCTTCTCAAAACTCACTGCATCAACCAAAACAAAAATATTATGTACGACATAGTTCTTCCTTAAACTCTTTACAAAGTTTTTTTTTTATTTGTAAAACATAATATTACAACAATAAGAAAATAATATATTTTTTACATTTCATTTTTTTTTACGGTTATTTTAGTTCTCTATTTTCAATATACCAATAACATAGTGGTATTGTAAAAATTATTAAAGAAAATTTGGTTTCATCGAAAAGTATACTTGAGACGGACGTAACATATTTTTATCAGGCACACGAAAATAAAATGTAAAGATTTGTACATTTGTAAAATATGTTTAAATTAATTTTGTGAGTAATTGGCAGATACTATTTATAAAACAAAAAATCATTTGTCAAGACAATTTATTATAAATTACTGTTCCAAATGTTCTTAAATGTATACAATATTATTTGACTCATACAATTACAAATACGTTGTTAGCTTACAATGTATGTTTTAAGTTGAACTCTTATATCGAATTGGTATATATTTGATACTATTATAGGCTTTTAAATGTGTAAAACATTTATTCATAAACAGCATATAAGTTATAAGTTCATTATACATACGTGCAATAACAGAAAACAGGTAGGTAGGTAAGCACTCTAAATAATTCGCTGTTTAGTACATATAGTAGGTATACTATTAATATAAAACCATTAAGACATACTACGCGTGCTTAAACTAAGCAATATGAGAAAAAAATTGTAAAAGTTCAATGAACCGGAATTTTTGTGTACCTAGATGATAATTAATCCTTATACTCATTAAGTGTATTATTAAATAATAAATTTAATTGTTTTTGAATTTCCTATACAACTCTATTTTTTTATATTAGGCATTTTGTTGCAATACGAGTATATGAATCTTTTTAGACAATATTTTTCCCTGGTTCAATTAGCGAGTGATCCCGCAAGTCCATTAGCTATGTCAAAAATGTTTGATTTTTACTCTGTGGCCAACCCTAGGTTATTTTATAAACTGAAACGAGGGACGCTTTTAATTTAAACTGTTGGATGACGAGACCATTTATCGGGTCAATTTTTTTTATGATTTAGTTTCGCCATATCTCTTTATATACTGACAAAAAAAAAATCGTTTTCACTCTGTGAATCGCTTATCAACTCGAGGTGGTTTTGTATAGCAATTGCTATTAGCAAATCGAAAGATGTTTTAGATTTTAACTGCCCGAACAAATGTATAGCGATCGAGTGACCCCTCGCCGGATGTCTAATCTCTATGGCTATACTTTTTCAGCCCCTATAGTGACTGTAGCATGGGTCCTTCAAGCTTATTCGGACATCTTATATACTCACAACTCACAGCCTAAAAACCATTTTTTTTTTTTATCAACGCCGATAATAGAGACCGGGTTTGACATTTCATTGTATTCCTACCCTTAAATGCATTTGTATTTTTTTCTTAGTATTATTCTGTATAATATTGTTCACGCGTGTATTGTAAATTTACCAGTTCAGAGTTTCAAACGGATTTTCATTTTTTTTTTATAGTTAAAAGTATAGGTTCAAGTTTTTTTAGATTATTACAATAGTATAGACTTCTTGGCCTAAACCTGTGACCAGAAATGTCATTCACATGGCTAACTTCAATCCCCTTAAACATTTTTATCCGGAGTCTTTTCCACACGAAAAAACACGTAGTAAACCACACACGCTCATGTACTTGACACGCACACAATCGATCATAATAACTATATACGTATTATATATTATAATATATTTCAATTATTATGGTTTATAATCATATAAAGGTAGAATACAATGTCATTAAACTTGACACGATTATTTTCAAGGTCATCAAAATGCTTATCATCGTTGTTGCGCTATTCACGTTGTGTTGGTTGCCCCTGCAAACGTACAATCTATTACAACATATATTTCCTCAAATAAACGAGTGAGTATTGTATTACTATTTGTATTTTATTATGTTCAATAAATGACTCACATCTTTTTTCCCCAAGACTTTCTGCGTTTTATAAATAATAATATACTTTATTGTCAATTTCATTTCAGGTATCCTTATATCAACATAATTTGGTTCTGTTTCGATTGGTTTGCCATGAGCAATAGCTGCTATAATCCATTTATTTATTCCATATATAACGTGAGTATATAGAGCATCTAAGTTGTATAAATAAACACTTTTTTACCATCACAATTATATTTTATTCGTCAATCGTAACCAAAAGTACAAAAGTAAATTGTGACACAAAATTTAAATTTTGTTGACATATTATACCTACTTTGACGATATTATATTATCAAAGATATATTTAGATATGTACATATATTATTAATAGACTCTTTTCGATATGAATGCTCTTGGGAACTGAATATGAAATTAATTGGATTATGTATATTATACAGTATACTGCATTTTATACATAATTACTTAACTATTACTACTATAGAGATTAATGTTTTATAATAACGACTATAGTACAGTCAATTTCAAAACAAATTTAAGATAATTAAAATTGAATTATGTATTTCATAGTGGTCTTAATTTTTTTTACATTCTACTGAAATCTACAAGCACCCAAATACTGCAGTGGTTAGTTATTTTTTTAATTATTTAATTATTTTTCAAAAACAAACTTTTGTACTAAGCCAGAAATGTATGTTTATCTCACAGTTAATAATATACGTCTTAATCAGAGTATTTTATGTTTATTTTATTGAAACACGTCTTAAACATAATAATAACGTACCTAATGGCCAAATAAGACAAAAACAATAATTATACTATAGTTAACTCTTCGCATTACATGCAAGTTTATACTTTTTACGAAATAATTTCTTACGTAATATCACTGACATCAACGGGCCCGGTAAACCGAGACTGAAAAGACAATTTACCTGTATCGATAATCGATCACTGAAGAAAATAGACGTTTAATTTTATAAGTAAAAAACAACATTTGAAAAAAAAATAGGATATTTTAATAAAACCTTAGATTGTCACACGTTATTTGTATTTTATGATGTATATTTTCAATTGTATACTGGTTGTGTGACGTGGGGCGGGGAAGCCTCCCACTAGTCGTTACATGTGTGCCCCTGAAGGGTTAAGTCACCCCAAAAAAATTGACCACCCTACGCCTGTGTATCTATGACAAAAATATTGAGCTTTACGCCGACCATAATTATTATTCTCAGGAGAAATTCAAACAAGAGTTCAAAATGCGGTTAGACTTCATGGCGGGAAAGAGGCGGCTGACCAGGGATCTGAGCGCTTTTTCCAGTGGCCGGTTCGAGTGGCGCACCAATCACGTGAACACGCACGAGCGAAACCTGAAGCACAGCTCGATCGTCACCAACGACACGCCATTGATACTCACACCCGACGCGTGATTGATCGATTGACCTACCGAAAGGCTGTGACCTCGTGAGACGTTATCAATTTAATATTTATTTCGGTGTAATTGTTATCGTTGCGGCGTCGGTGTAAAATAAGTTTTTCGATTGTCCCCCACGCACGATAATATAATGAAATATATATATATAAGTCTTGGCCGGAAGTCCCGAGACCCCATCGTCCCCGTTCTAGAAAACAGATCCCGCGTGATTTTTTTTATCATCACTTTGTTTTCTTACTCCTACTATCATACATTTCTTTCTATTTGC